GAAGAAGCCTCACCACCCGCAAAGCAGAAGCAAGAGAATATAATGCTTCTTTCAGGATCAGAGATTCTAATACCAGACAAACTAGGGTCCAGAGCAGAGAACCAGAGACCTGACATGAGATGGAGCAGACCTTGGGACTGCCATGTCATTGAACCAGATCTAACAGCCGTTTGCCCAAGTTTGTTGGGGGAGAATAACCATAACTGGAAAGACTGAGAACTTTGTAACACTGGCCTAAAGCTGTGAGGTACAAGGCTGAAGCATCTTCAATTACATTTTGGGAGTTATTCTGACTGTATTCTGTTACTAACCTAAATTCTATTTCACCTTTTGACTTCCCTAATATGGTTCTGTGTGGTCTGTAAGCTATCCCTTCAGATTTTGGACACAGTAAAGCAGTGAGATTGGTGTTGGGTTGAGTGGATACAGGTGCAGAAATGTGGAGGATATGTCTGACCTCATGAGAACTGGTTCTGTGTAGTTGATGTTGTTGACAGGGATAGTTCGCCTTTGTGAAGTTGATATAGGTTAGCGATGGCCATCTCCACATGGCCCTTGTCTTTTTGTACTTTGTCAACTCGCCACCTGTGTATATCTCCTTAGACTATGTACAATCAATCTCTAGATAAAGACAATTATGAACTTATACTTGTGCCTAATATAACATGCACATAAATGAGAACATACTAGCCTTATATACATCATGTTGTTGCTGTTGTGTACCATCAAGTCAGAGCCAACCCATAGTTGACCCTCCACTGGGTTTTCAGAGGCAGTTAATCACACAAAAGGAGATTGTCTGCTTATCCTCCCACAGAGCAGCTAGTGAATTTGAACAGCGTGCCTTCAGGATTGCAGCGCAACATCTAGCCACTAGGTCATCATAATGAGATGAAGAAAGGAAGAAAAATATTTAAGGTATATAAGCATACATATACATATAACAAAACAAGGAGAAAATACTCCTAACAATGCAGTCCTTGTTTCTGAAACTTGTCACACGGTTTTAGCTGGTATTTAGAACTACCTTCATTCCAAGAATTTGTTCTTGGTGGTTGCTCTTGGCCTAGTGGAACACTTTGTTCTTGAAGAACCCTTCCTTCTTGAAGGATTTAGACCATAGCCATCATTTTGAAATTGGGTTGCTATCATGTAAATGGGGGGTGGGGGTTAACATTAAAAAGAAAGATAAATTGGATTGTTATAGTTTTTCATTGACTTCAATCACAGGGCATGGTTGTATTAAGAGATAATCTTAGAGATCCAAAATTGTTTCTTTTCTGTCATCTTTATGTAATACCAATCTGAATTCCCGCTAGTAGTCAAGACCAATCACATCAACCAATACAGTAACTCCCTCCCTCTTTGCCTGTCAATCCAAAGACATTCTACATGGATAGAATGGCTCTTAACTTTCAGTTCAATGGAATCAGTGTCATGTCTCCAAGTGGAAGCATTCTTTCCTTAGGAACTAAGGCATCTAGACTGTGGAGTATATGTCAGTGGGGACAAGATGCAAAGTTTTCCAAGTGAGTCACTAGGAATAATAATGAGTGGGACTGCTCCTATTTCTACCCTTTGAGGAAAACACCACCATACTTATATCAGACGCTATTTTGGAGTACATACTACCTCCTGGAGAACACCATCCCAACCCTGCAAGGTATTGCCACCTAGCTGACAGTGATTGTGTCTTTAGAAGGCATTCCATCATTCTGTCAAGCTAGCTGCTTCAAGATTATGGGGGAAATGTACAGATCAGTGACTTCTAAGAGCATGGGCCCACTGCTGCTTTTCATTTGTTGTGAAGTGAGTCCCTTAGTCTGTGACAGCACTGTGTGAGATATCATGGTGGCGTGTGCTTATAGAACGGGGATGTGGCAGGGGGAGACGGCGGTGGGAGCAGCAGCAGTGACAGCCTGAACACAGGAAATCACATTAGAAAGGGAAGCTCTGGACTGGCAGAAGTGTGTTAACCTTTCATCCATGTCATTGAATTTAATACGTTAACTTTGTAGTGAAAACGTCTTCTTTGAGCTCAAGGTTCATAAAAGTGTTGCTGGTCCTTGATGTTCCTGGTTGAGGATAGTAAAGAAAACAGAGCCCTGAAAGCTCACATTGACTGAAGCAAAGACGGAGCTGGGGGGTCAGCCCAGTGGCCCCACGCCTCCCTGGCCTGACAGAACTGAGCAGCTATTCATAGTGGCTGGAGCACTTCCAAGCTGTGAGTGTAAATTTACTTGTATCATCTCTGCAGAGAGGAACTGTGCAGTCCCCTGTGCCTCCTGGTTGATCCAGATAGACTGTTTATTTGTTTAGTCCTGTAATGATATTATCCACAGGGCTAGAGCCACACAGGGAGGATTAGGAATTCCCGGAGGAGGAAAGCTGTGTGTGTTTATTGCCCTGTCAGTCCTCTACGACAAAAGACAAAAGTTGCTATAATTTGTATGTTCCCACACACATGATCCATATGGACAATATTGAGTATATGTGCTGATTAAGAGGTAGGAGGGGGAGGGGAGGGTTAAACCTAATAGAACGGCCAGAGAGCAAGATGCCGCCTGCTTTGAGAGGAACTTGGAGAAATGCTGGCATGGTGAGCCTCTGCTTAAATGCCACCATTCCAGAGCTGGAAGGAATTCTGAGATGTTGAAACTGGGTTGTCATAATGTGAACGAACCAGCTCTTGACAAGACTTTGTTCTTGTGTTGTCTTGGACCTTGAGTCTACATTTTTCGTTTCCATCTCAGCGGTTTAGCTCTCTTCGCTTGAAAAGCTTGGTTTATCATGGCAAAGCATATTGGAGGGGAGGGTGGTATGATTTTTCTCACCCTCAGCACATTTATTTATAGCACAATGCCAGTGCTAGCTGTCGGTGTATTACCAGCACCAATTCTAGTTCATCTTCTCAGAGTCAGATGGAAACCACCTCAATTGTGCTGCCAATTGGTTCCTGATTGTTTTTCTGGAAGCCTGATGCTCTGAAAGCCTTTTGTACCTCAGGAACATGCCGTCCATCCAAGAAATACACGGGTGGAAAGTGAGGAGACGATGAAGTAACTGGGTCTGCGTGTCCCGTGTGAGCTGGCAGGCTGCGCCAGCCGAGGGACAGTTGCCCTGACCGTGGGTCCACTGTGACCGTGCCACGTTGACGCCGCCATCCTACTGTAGGATCTGTGCCATGGGCAAGTCTCACACGACTCACGGAGGCCAAGTCTGAGACGGGTACTGCGGTGAAGGCTGGTTGGAGAGGGATGTGCCTTGGCCCTCAAGCAGCAACACTGGAGAGCTCGCCCAAACCACTACAACAAAGCAAGGCGACATGGATATAAGTGGGTGAGGAAAGATGGCACAATAGGCAGCCACAAACAGCCTGGGCTGATTTTGGGTTATGGGGCAAGGTGGCTGTGAGTGAGTCACGACGAGCAGCCATTCCAGAAAAGTCATTGCGGATTCCAAACAATGAAGACATTTTCGTAGCCAACATGATGGAAAAGATAGGAAAAGCCACTCTTCTTTGTCTTCCTGGCACCAGTATCCTTTCCAACTGAGAGAGTTCTCCTACTCTGCTACTAATGAAAGCCAGTGTGTATATAAAATGAACAGATAGTATACAGGACTAAAATTATTCACCAGCAAACCAAACGCCCCTGTAAGTAATCCTCCAAACCAAAACCGAAAACTCACTGTGGTGCTGACGACGACTCTGACTCTAAAGGGCAAAGGACGGTTTCCAAGGCTGTAAATCTTTGCTGAAGCAAATGGCCTCATCCTTCTCCTACAGAGCAGCTACCCTGTTGTCCCCACCTCTCACCATTTGGTCAGCAGCTTTATGCCTTAACCACAGCAACACCCAAACTCATTGTCAGTGAAACAATTTTGACTCATAGAAACCTTACAGATGGTTTCCAAGGCTGCTGCCTTCAAAGGTTTGAAAAGCCCTTTGGTAAGCGCTTAGAGCAGGTTTCCTTGAAAGGCTTGCTGCTGCAGGAGGCGGTTCTTTCAGATCCTGACCCTCTTGAATTTGCCTCTCTAGGGTTAATATGTAGAGAGTGGTGCAGCCGACTCAAAGGCCTCTCTCCTGGTTGGAATCCACCAGTGACTCCATGGTAGAAAAACAGGCCATCTCGTCCTGTGTGATTTACAGCCCGGGGCTGGGTCAGAGGCTCAGCTGTGGTTCTCAAGTTTGACTTTTTGAAGTAGAAAATTAAATCTGAAAGGATCTCCTAACTTTACTGACTGATTGGCAGGAGGGAGAAGTGGCTGCTGTCTTGCTGGTAACCCAAAGGCTGAACCTCTCTTGGTGGTTCAAACTCACTAGGGGTTTAGTGGGAGAAAGATAGACACTCACTCTCCTTCTGAGCCTGGAAAACCCGCTGGAAGCTCAGCTATGAGTCAGTTCAGACGTGAAGACAGTGAGTTTGAGGTTTTTTATTTATGTTTTAATTTTGTTTCAAAAACTCTATGGGGCAGCTCTGCTCTGCTCGTCGCTTCGAGTCCTAAAGGACTCTAAGGCACACAAGAGCACAAAGCAAATGATCAGATTAAGCCAAGGGCCTGTTACAAAAGCAAAATCTAGACAGTGCATGTCTTTTTAATGACCAGCACTCTGGGTGCCCTGTGTAAACATCAACAGCTCCCTGCCTGCGGAGGCTAAGAAGCCTTACAGCCATAGAGTTTGGGTTCCTTACCATTCTCGCCTAAGGGTGCCTGACCTTGCCCAAAATCATTCACAAATAAAGCTCTCTTCGAAAGGGCCCTACCTTCAGCCTAAGAGGAGAACCCTTTCCCCCAGTAAATATTTGGCTCGGCAGGGGGAAGGGAGGCCAAGAGTAACAAAGGGAGCCAGCGGCCTGGGTTTGTTTGGATTGCCCGGCCGGCGCAGGAGCGGCCGGCGCAGCTGACCACGGGTACAGATAGGTTAATTTCCACATGGAGCTGCAGAAACCCTATCCGCGGGTTGCGAAGCGTGGGTCAGCCAAGGCATGTTAATCTGTTTAGCATGTGCGCTGCGCGGAGGAGCCAGACCACCAGGGCGCAGGAGGCGCGGCCGCAGCTCCTCCAGAGGAGTTAATAAAAGGCTTAAAGGGAAGTCGGTGCTGCGAGGGTGCGGGCGTCCCTGTGCGGGTCCTGTGGGCAGCAGGGGAAGGCGAGTCTTCCAGGAGGATCCTTGCAGATAGACCCTCTGAAGCGCGCACCCGTAGGTGGCGAACACACCGGGGAGGCGGTGGAGGCCCCAGCCTGGGCGCCGCGCTGCGGACGAGGGCGCGGGGAGCCTCCAGGCCCCGGAGCGCCTCGCCGCGCACCCACCGCCTGGGAGTGGGGGGAAGCCTTTACCTCATTCGCGCTCCTGGGGAGGAGGGGAGCGTGGAGTTAGACATTTAGAACATTTTTAACTAATCAAAATATTTGCTGATGAGTATTTATTTTTACAAGAACTCGGTTTGGCTGGAGACTTCCCGAGCAACAGTATGGGCTGCCGTATTAGGTTTGTGACAGAGCCAAGTGCGGTTGGGATTATTGAATCTGCGCGCTGGAGATCACTAGCTCCGGAGATGTTTTCTGTGTTCTGGGGCAGCAGCATTCCCAAGACCCATCTCTGCGCAGATGGCGTTTAGAACACAACCACATGTCTGTCCTCCAGAGCACGGGAGACTTCATGTATTATGCTTGGACTGAATGAAAAGGAACGCACGCCTTTCGCTGTCCACGCCAACAAAAGGAAAAATAGCGGGAAGTAGCCCAGCCTGGAGAAAGGGAAGTCAGAACTCAGAGGTCCCAGCGGAAACAAACGACGATAAAACGGGGTTCACAGAACGCAAGGGCCACCGCACAGCGTCCCTCCAGGGGATAAGTTTCCTCTTCTTTTCTCTGTCTTCCTTTCAGCACTCAGCCAGGAAAGCTTCACTTTGAACTAAAGTTGGTACATCAGAGAGCAATCAAACAACTACTTCATTCAAATCCCTACAAAGCCACTGCCCACTGTCCAGGAAAATTCATGAGACATTAAAATAAAATTTTGTAACAGACAAATAAGGGGAGAATCATAGTAAATAAGGTTAAACTATAAAGATAAAGGGAGAAATACTAGACCATATATTTTTCTTAAGAAACAGAGAACTGTTTTAAATATCCTCATTCATAGCAGTAATAGCCATTCAATAGAGACCAGGATGGCATAAATACATTATTGTTACCCTTCAACAGGACTTCCGAAAGGAAAAGTGGGGTGGGGGGGAAGGATGGGTTCCTGGGAGCCGACCAGAAGAGCTAGCTCATTGCATGTAGAGGACTTGTGGAAAGTAAGTGAATAGATTATTTGGAATATGTAGTTGATAAAAAGCAAATAAAAAATGCACATGCCCATCATGGGTGGAAAAAGGACTTCCCAAGTTCAGGATGAACTAGGACTGATTCAACACTGAACACTGGGGAGTCAGAGAGAGAGCTTAAACTAGGTATTATTTAACCATGGTGTCTGGTAGCTTCCAGAAGCAAGTGTAATTCTAGGACGGATAGTAAAAAGAACTATTAGGAGTCATGAACCAGTTTCTCCCTATTTTCAGCACAGATAGCTACAATAAAATTTTTGTTCTGTTTAAGGAATCATGAATAAGAGATCTGGTGGATTAAAAGAGTGTCTCTTCCCTCAGGACTTTCCTCACGTGCTTGGCTAGCATTGATCATGAAGTATCCCAACTCACTGACCTAATACTAGTGGTCATCTGGCTGATTTTGGCCCCCAAAGCCTCCAAAATAAAACTAGAATTACCTACAACTCCATGAAGTGTGAAAGAAGCTGTGGTTTCTTTTGATCAAAGAGACTCATGGGCCTGAATTTAAAACAGAAAAGCAAAGACAACACTAATCAAAATTGCTTGCACTTCGTATTATTTTTAAACTGGTTGCCAGAGATGAGAGGACTAAGGGACACAAGACATCTCAGAGCCAAAGAAAAAGAGTCATAGCTGAAGAACTTTAATTTTGGAATCAAATAAGAGAATGGTTTTCAACGCTTCCCAACTCAGATTTCCTTTATTCGGTGATTGAGCCAAATCAAAAGAGGACTGTTTGCTCCTGCCAGTTAAGAGAAGGATAGCAATAAAAGGTGCCTTAGTAAGCCAATAGACTGTCATTATGGAAGGTGGCAGGATGAGTTTTCTAGGGTGATTTTAAAGTGCCAAAATCTTGGTGGCTTAAAGCAACAGGAATGAATTCTCTCAAGGCCTGGATGCCAGAAGTTGGAAATCAAGGTGTTGCCATGTTCCTTCTGAAGGTTGGGGTGGGGAATCTTGCTTTGCCTCTGCCCAGCTTCTTGTGGTTGCCAATCACCCTTGGCACCGCCTTACTGTAATCTCTGCCTCTGTGACCACATGTTCTTGCTGTGTCTATTTCTTCTCTTCATATTAAGACGTTTGTTCTATTGGATCAGGACCTACTGTAATCTCGTGTGACCTCATCTGTAACTTGCAAAATCTCTCTTTCAAAATAGTATCCTACACACAGTGGAAAGGAGTAGACGTGAACACATCCCTTTTTTTAAAATGTTATAATCAAGTGTAATAATTCTACCTGGTGTACAAATATTACCCTTTTTAAAATTTTTGTATTATACTAGTTTATTTACAAAATTCTAATATTGTTTTTCAGACCAGATTCTTTCAATTTCTCTCACCCTCCCATCAGATTGTGCAACCCCATGATTAATCCACTCCCCAAATCCCCAACATCCTCAACCCTCTGCTTCCACCCTCCCACCCCCTTGGATCCTCATACTCATTCTACAATAATGGTTTTATATAATATTTGTCCTTGTGAGACTGAGTCAGTTCACTCAGCGTAATGCTCTCCAGTCCCTCCCAAACTAGGTAGTCATTTACAAAATCATTGCTCCTGCATGCCGTGTAGTGTTCTTATCATACGAGTACACCATAATGTCTTAATCCATTTGATTGTGATTGGACATCTGGGCTGTTTCCAAGTTCTTGTGATGGTGAATAACTGGTATGAACACTGGTGAACACATCCTTTTTGAGGAACACAATTCAGTAGTAACAGTGGCATTCCCTGTGCCCTTGCTGAAGCTTCTGATGCTCCGCTCACCTCTGCATCCCAAGACCAGCCTAGTGGGACAGGATGCTGAACAGATAATCCACCAGCATGGCTCACCTCCCCCTTGAAGCTTTCTCCAGCTGCCTTCTCTTTTTGTAGTTCCTTATTTTTTCTTTAATTTTAATTATCTTTTTTAATTGTTATATTAATGAAAGTTTACAGAAAACTTGGATTTCCATTCATTCATTGTTGCACATTTTCCTCCCTACTCCCCTCCTGTTTGTTTTTCTTTTTAAAAAGATTCTTTCATTGTTGCACAATTTCCCCGTTCTCCCAGTGCCCCTCCAGTCCACTTTGCTATGCACCTCTTATGCTGTTGTCATGGAAATACTACCTAATCATATATTTCTTAAATAGATGAGTGAAAGAACTATCTGAAATAAATATATGATTAGGTAGTATTTGCATGACAACAGTCCTTTAAATTTTATAGCATTTACCTTTTGACTCCACTTTCCTACTGCTTATTGCAAACTATTTTGGAGTGAGGGTTTTCCCCTCATATTTTTAAAATATTTTTATATAGCAAAAAGACAGCAAATATAGTTTTTTGTTCACAGAGAAAAAAAATATACTGCTATGGTCATGATTATTCCCCTCCCCCTCCCCCCCCCGCTTTAATTTTGTTCTTGTTTATTTGGGGTTTTTTTTTTCTTTCAGTTACTCACTTTTTAACATTTCCCCCTTTCCGTTTCCCTCCCAACAGTCCACTCCACAATCACCCTTTATTCCAGATTGTTCTCATACATACAACACATAATCACGTATTCCTTTCACACAGTTCTTCCGCTCATCCGTTCTAATGCAGTATTCTTTCTCTATCCACTCTTTCCCCCTTCTTCCCCAACTCCTTCATGTTTGTCCTATTTATTGACAGTAGTGTTAAGCTGTATTTGTCCTTTTGTGACTGAGATATTTCACTTAACGTGATATCCTCAAGGATCCCCCATGCTGTGTAATGTAGTAGCATTTTTTTTTCAATGCTGCATAGACAGTATCCATTAGGTAGATGTACCATAGTTTTTCTATTAATTTCTTTATTGATAGTCATGTGGATTGCTCCCATCTCTTTGCATTATGAATAATGCAACAATAATCATGGGTGTGTACATGGTCACAATTCTAAGGATTACTCTGGCTCCTTGACCATGGATTGTAGTAGTATAGGCTGGTTTTAGTGACTTTTTCAGCTTCAGTCATTGATCAGAGCTAAAATCACACTATAAAGATACACAAAAGGACAATATTCCATAGCCTTTAATTATATGCTAATAATTATTAATATAGGCGACTCATTGGCACATAACAACACAATAATTATTAGTATATAGTGATATAATACATTATTATTGTTGTTATGTGCCATCAAGTTGCCTGCAGCTCATAGTGCCCTACATAAAATATCTCTGAACCCTGCCCTATCCTGAGTCAATCTCACGGTCTCTGACACACCTGCTCCCATTACCCCGGTTACTGTGTTAGTCCATCTCATTTGGGGTCTTTCTCTTCTGCACTAGCCCCCCACTTTTCCAATCATGATGTCCTTCTCCAAGGACTGGTCCCACCTGGCCACATGTCCAAAGTATGTGAGACGGAGCTTCAAAATCCTTTCCTCCAAGGAGCAGCTTGCTTTCACCCTCTCCAAGACAGACATGTTTGGTTTTTTGGTGGGCCATAGTATATTGAAGACTCTTCTCCAGCACCACAATTCAAAGACATCAATTCTTTTTCTGTTACTATATATTAATAATAATGATAATATGATGTAACAATTCAAGTGAAACTAAGATATTTCAGGAAATACCATAAGATCAAGAGTTAATGGTAATGAAGGATGGAGTTCAAGCTGCACTGAGAGCACTGACAAAAAATTAAGGCCCAAGAATCAATGGGATACCAAATGACATGTTTCAAGTAAAAGATGCATCCCTGTACATGCTTATTAGTCTGTCCCAGGAAATTTTGAGGACAGCAGTCTGGAAAACATGACTGGAAGAGATCCATATTTGTTTCCATTCTCAAGAAAGGTGATCCAACAGAATTATCATAATACTGTAAGCAAGTAAAATCTTGCTGAAAATCATTTAAAAATGGCTAGAATACTACATTGACAGAAACTGCCAGAATTTCAGGCCAGATTTAGAAGAGGCTGTGGCACCTGGGATAACACTGCTGATGTCAGATGGATACTGGCTGAAAAA